AAGAATTTAATGACCGAGACCTCATGAAGCTTGAAGATCAACTTGGGCTTTATATTGTTGATATGCAGAGCAGCACTGAGTTTTCATCATTGAACGGAATTACTGATTTGGCAGAAAAATTGGTGAATACATGAAGGAGTAGAATATACAACTATGTATATTTACTTCTTACATTGGCTTTAGTTTTACCCGTTGCAACAGCTTCAGTTGAGAGAGCTTTTTCAGCTATGAATATTGTGAAAACACCATTGCGTAACAAAATAGGGAATCAATGGTTGAGTGGTAGCTTGGTTGTTTACATTGAGAAATATGTTTTTTCTTGTATTAGTAATATAAATATAATGCGACGTTTTCAAGATATGAAACCTCGTCGACAACAATTGTAAGTTAATTGTAATGTTATTTTTTAAATTTATTATGAATAACATTAGTATTGTTTAAATTATAAGGATGTTTAGGTTTTTTTTTTTTTTTTTTTTTTTTTTGGGAGCTCTTAGCTTTTGAAAATTGCACCTCTGCTGAAAAATTCATGAGTCTGCCGCTGGTGGAGAATGTGTCTTCATCCCTAGATCTACAGGTATTGAAGCGGAAGCGGAAGCAGTGCTATTTGGACTTAAGCTTGGTGTTGAAATGGACCTTGAAAGAATTGTTATGTAGAGTGACTCTCAAGAGATGGTCAGTGCCTCAAAAGACCCATCCAAACCACCCTACTGAAAACGAACCCTAAGCCTTATAATCCAAGTACTTTTGTTTTTGCTATAATGGAAAATCATTGGCCTAAATTATCCCTAATTTATTTCCCCATCTACCTCACCATTTGGGCTACCCCATAGGGCTTATGATCAAAGTACTTCTAACTAGCACTTAAAAGCCATCTTTGTCTGTGGTCAACCAGGCTCATTAAATATTGTTTAAATGGTCCATAAAAATGGTGGCTAATATTGAAGTTGTGTGAGGCACTAGTTTTATCTTCGAACACGCGATCTATCTAAGCATAAGTAAAACGATTTTGTAATGATTCGTGGATATCGATCATCCTTGCAAGTACCTTTTTTTTTTTTTTGAATACAAGTGATAGTCTAAACTATAAGGAGGTGAGAGGTTTCTAAACACACACACACTATCAAAGTATCATGAGAGTTTGGACCTGAAACCACTGGTATGCGAGTTAAGACGATTTTTCACTGTACTAGACCCTGTTGGCTAAATACAATTTCTTTTTTAAAGAAAAAAGAACAGAAATTGAATGGAATGTTTGTGACTCGTTTTTAATCTTGGGGAAGAACTTAAGCCAAAATAGATTCTATAAAATAGCTGGAAAGTCAAAATTGTTCTCATTGTATCAAAAAGTTAGATAGAGGCTGACTAATTAGGTTGCATTTGGCATTGGAGCGGCCCTCTATATATGTATGTACTCTATTACTAATTAGTTTGAAATTGTTCTCATTGCAGCTGAACTACGAGGTTTTGAAAGTTACATCCCACCTTTTGCTACTGCAAGAGGATCGGAAATACTCAAAGGCTTGAATTATATGCATCTGGGGCAGCTGTATCCCCAACGAAACTGGAAGACAAGTGGTAATTATTTTGGGTTTTCGACTGATTATTTTCTCTACTACATGATCATAAAGACGCTTTCGCCTCAGAAATTAACTTCCGTCCTTATTGACACCCGGCAAACAATTCTAAAATGCCAAAAAATTTCAAAGAATGCATGTGATCCAATTTTTTTTCCAGAAATTAATGGTTATGGTTTTATGTTATGGCACAAAAGAATTCTTGGAAAAATTGAGAGGTTTGAGAAACTAAACCATATGCAATTTAATCCCTCTTCTTGATTTTGTAGGGACAGATAATAAGCATGGATATGCAGTTGCAAAATCATCATAGCATAGTAAAAAAGATAGCTTCTTTTAGGGGAAATAATGCCTCATCAGCAGCGGCGGACGTAGGCAGGTGCATATATACTGTTGGGATGGGCACCAATGATTACACTATCAACGACTTCGTTTCAATGTCCAACACTAGCTGCCAATACACACCAGATTAATACGCAAGAGTTCTCATTCATCAGTATTCTCAGCAATTAAGAGTAGTATAACAATATCTTCCTTTTTAATTATATGATTATTATTTCATACAAGCGATAGTCTAAATTATTCTAAATTACAGAGAAAGGACTCGAACTTAGATGCAAAGGGAGCGGTCTCATTATTCTAGCCATCTGGTTTTAATAAATGTTGATTTTTTCGTATTGATCAGAAAATCAATTAGACTTATATATAATTGGCACTATGGGGCAAGAAAGATAGCCCTTTTTGGGCTAGGTCGTTTAGGTTCCACACCTTACGAAGTGGCCATGTGTGGCACAAAAGGCTCTTCATGCGTAGCTTATATCAACACTGCAGTCCAAATTTTCAATCGGAGGCTTAAATCTCTTGTCCAAGAGCTTAACAGAAATCTAAGACATGCTAAGTTCATTTACATAGACTATCTTGGGATTGAATCATCCTACGCTCTTTTATCTAGCGGTACCTTCATTCCTAATTATGTTAATCTGCTCTTTGTTAGAACACAATTATTTATCAATTCTTGTTCCGACTCGCCTCATGCGAGAGAGTTGGGAAAAGCGTTACTAATTGGTTTTTCTATATTTCAGGTTCTTTGATTACCAATGCCTCATGTTTGTGAGGTGATAAAAGGTCAGATCACATGTATTCCCATGCAAGAACAGGACGCAGTACGTATTTTGGGATGCCATCCATCCTACGGAAAGCTACAAATGTTGTCATAGCAAGAAGAGGATACAAAGCAAAGTTTCTTACTGATGCTTTTCCATATGATATTTACCATTTAGCTCAAGTTTGCTAGTGTTGCTTTAACGGTCGTCAGACTCATCTATAGCCTATAGTGGAAAGAAGTCAAACATATATCTGAGTCTAAAGTCAATTACATTATTTTCTTAACTTTGATTAAGTCAATGTCAAAGATGCTCAAGCGCGTTTCTTTATTGTCCTGATTAATTAGTTTTTATTTCTCCCGAAACTGCTCACTATATACACATCCTCTACCCTTTTTTTTTTTTTTTTTTTTTTTTTTTACAAAAAACAAACAAAACAAAACAAAAGAAGAAGAGGATGTGTATATATCAATCTCCTTTTACTGAGAGACACTCTTCTTATGAATTGTTTTTCAACGATCCAAACGTCTATTTTTCAATTCTTTATTCATAAATCATTATTGCAAAAAATCAGGAAATTGAAAATTATTAAGACATCTAGTTGGGACCAACAAAATAGACGAACACAATGATTCAAGAAAAGACTTTAATAACAACCATTAATTGAGTGGTCAAATAATTTCGGATTCAAGTAATTTTTTGCAGCGATGATCTTCAAGGGAATATCTAAAAGTTAAACCATTCAGATAATTGAAATACAATGTGTGGTGGACCATACAAAAGTGTCTCTCAAATAAACTATTTTAAGAAATTCCTCAACTAAAACTCTCTGTATATGTATTATGTGACTCGACTGTTTGTGAAAATGATCTAAAATTAATAGTAATGTGTAATTCAAAGTCAGAGTCAAAGCATTATGTGACTCAACTGTTTGTGCAAATTACCTAAAATTAATAGTAATGTGTAATTCAAAGTCAGAGTCAAAGCCAACGACCGTCTTCCCCCAACACTGCTTTGAAAACAGATATGAATGCTACTTGGAAGCAGGCCATTGGAAAACAAACGTATATTAATTTCACTTCTTGTTTCTCATTCTGTCATTAGAATTAATAGTAATGTGTAAATTTCTTAGTTCATTCATTTTTCTTTTCTTCAAAGCGCGTGCCGCGGGTTCTCACCAGAGCTTCAAGCTTACTTCATGGCAAGAGGGACTCATGACTTGCAGTTTAAGCTAATGGATGACTACTATTACCATATATATCTCATCTTTAAAGAAAAAACATTGGTATAAATATCTAGCCACGGGCGAGAGGTAGAGGTGGTAAGGCAACATAATAGAAACTAGAAGTGAAGTGGCCGCATCGCTCGATCTATGAAAGAGTAGTTGAGAGATGGGACTGATCTCATGCTTTTCGATCCGTCTTCTGACGCTGCTCGTATTGATCGTCTCTTCATTCTTGGTCATGCAATCACCTCATTACGTTCACGCAGGTAGCTTCATTTCTTCATTCTAATAATGCTTAGTATACACTATATCTTGATAATTAATTGACATCCATCCATTTTCATTTCTGATAGCGGCTAACTATAATTAAGAGTTTTAAATCATGGATCCTTCTCCATTGCGGAGTTGAAGTATGCGAAATGAAGTATGCGAATCCATTACGGATTTGTGTTTTGACCGTAGGATCTACGCCAATTGCCGTTTGTTTAAAATCTCACCCTCTTTTTAAAAAAATTCTATTTCCTCTTCTCTATCTTTTGTATTATTTTTCCTCGTTGTTCTCTCTTTCTTTATTATTTTTTCTCGTCTTTCTCTTTTTCTTTATTATTTTTCCTTCTCTCTCTCTCTTCTTTCTTCTCTCCTCCTTTGCTCAATCTCTCTCTCTCTCTCTCTTCTTCTTGGCTCCATAATGGATTCACACACTTCAACTCCGTAATGGAGAAGGACCCTTCAATCTTGACCGGTCTTGTGACCTAATTGTCTCTTCATATATTTATAGGATTTTTTCACAAATAGACTCATTTTAACATGACATAATACATATTTACAAAAACTCCTATAGAACCTATTTAAAGAGAAATCCAAAATAGCAACCTGTTATTTTCTAATTAGTTCTAAGTATGTTAAAATTTTCTAAAAACCGATTAGAAAATGACAAATGATATAAATTTTTGTTTAATATGCCATACTAAAATGAGTTTATTTGTAAAAGATTATATAATTTAACTTGTCATACAGGGCGCAGATTAAAAAGTCAAAAAAAAAAAAGTTACACATGAACATGATTTGATTGATGTTATTGATATTGAGTTGAGTTTATTAATTGCTGCAGATCAAAAACCGAGAAAATTAAGGGGCATGCCAACCCCACCCCCTCCTCCTACTGTAGCCAGACGTAGTGGAGATGGCTAATTTGGGATTGGGATATGCATCTTAGTCTGAAGCATGATTACGTTAAGTTTCTCCTCAGATTAAAAAGAAAAGATTACATTACTTTATATTGTCGCCCAACTCATTTTGTTTAACATTTTTGTTTAAGGGTTGTGATTACCAAACACGTTAATTGTATTAGTAAATTCTGCAAGCACATATCATGCTCTAGCCGTCTGAATTCATAAAAAGAAGAAGATGACGTTCCCTGTTAAAACAATGAAAGGAAGAAGAAGATGTGAATCAAAGGAGGAGAAAGACACAAGTTCCCGAATCTCTTTGCTATATGATGAAATAAAAGTCTCTATGCTATATGATATCATAATAGCCAACTGATAATTTTTACCCTCCGTTTGGATGAAGGAATTGAAAATTGCATAGAATTCTTAAATGATCGAATTTAAATCCTCATCATTTAAATTTGAGGATTTCATTAATAAACCCATTTTAGCATGACATAATATACAAAAGTCTCTCTCTCTCTCTCTCCATTTGGAGATTTGGAGCTATCTCGCCTTGTCTCCTTCGATCTCCTCGTCACGCAGCCAAGATATCTCGCCAAGCCTTGTAGCCCACTTGGCTCAAAAATCAAAACCAAACCACACCGAACCATTCATTCCTGTTAACCGAGGGACTAGGTTGTTGAGGGTGTTAGTTCGGCGTCCCTCATATTCACAAAAATTACACTAATATCATCCTCACTCAATGAAACCTCGAAACTCGTGATCGCAAAACCCTAACTCGCTCTGCACCACCAATGGAACTTCGGTCTCTCAAGAGAGTCGCTGGCCCTTCTACCCATCATTTTGTATCTATAGTTTGCCCTCTCAGAGTCTCATTGAATAGCACCACAAATCATCCACTTACATGCGAAGTCTACGAAAAAAATGATGTTTTCGGAATCTTGTGCAAAAAAAATTACTGTATTTTTGTTGAAATGTTCCAAAAAAAAAAAACATAGCTTAAATATACATTAAAACAAAATAAGTTTTTTTTTATAAAAAAAATACCACCTAAACCAAATTACATCACAAATTTTTTTTAGAGCCCCAACTATACAACACCCATTTTGTGGAAGATACCTTTATAACCCATAATATTCCACTGAAGCTCTAAATGGAATTCTATCCACGATCAATTTGTTAGAGCCCTCTTTTAGGTACTATAATTGAGGATACCCTTATGACCCTTTTTTGATGGGACAAATGAGTAAGCAATACATGCCACATAAGTTATTAAAGTACAATCTTACTTCATTCGAATAATCCCTTGAAGATGCTTCTAGATGGTAAGAATTGAAATTCATGAACTTCCAAAGAGTATAGTGAAATTTACCATTTTTTTATATCCATTTTTAAATATTATTTTTGCTAATCTGATCGGATGGTGTTGAGGGTTGGAGGAGTTGGTGGACAGGTGTCAACATCTCAAATAGGAGACGCAGGGGATTTTAGAGGAATTGGGGCGAGAAGATCTCAACTCCAAAGCAACGGCTGCAATTCTATTCTGCACTATGAAAAAAATAAAAACCTCTCTTAAACCCCCATTAATTACATTTCGTCTCCAGAGCTCCTCTCTCACTCTAGGCCGGCACCAAAATGTTCCTCCACAGGCAGCGCCCCGCCGCACTAACCGAAGCCCTCCAGCTCCAAATCCGACGCTACGCCCAATCTGCCACAGCCGCTCTGCTCCACCAGGAATCGGAAGTCGAACCCGACTTTCAGTCCACCTTCCCGAGACCCGACCCGAAATACGCCGAGACCATCTTCGCCGTCCCACGCACCGCCTCCGGTAAGAGCATCTCCGCCAAAGAGCGCAAGGCGGGACGCGTCCCCAGCATCGTCTTCGAGCAAGAGGACGGCCAGCACGGCGGCAACAAGCGCCTCATCTCTGTACGGACCAACCAGATCCGAAAACTCGTCGGTCATCTCGGCCGCTCTTTCTTCCTCTCCAGGCTCTTCGACCTCGAGGTTCGCTCCGACTTCGACTCTGAAGACGACATCGTTGAGAGGGTCCGCGTTTTGCCTCGCATGGTATGGTCTGCTCTGCACTCTGTTTATCTTCAGAAGATTTGATTTTGTTTTTGGTGTGTTAGGGTTTATTTGATGTTGGGGTTTTGTTTGTTTGTTAGATTCATTTGCACTCGGCCACGGACGCACCGCTTAATGTGACCTTCATAAGGGCTCCTTCTCATGCTTTGTTGAAAGTCGACATTCCTCTTGTGTTTCGAGGGGATGATGTCTCTCCTGGATTGAAGAAAGGTAGATTTGAATGCATACAAGGGTGTGACTGCCTTCAGATACAACATATTCTTAATTCCAACTATACATCTTTGTATATTCTTGATAATATGGCTAAATTTGAATGGAGGTTGTTAGTTTTTCATCAAAAAGTTATAACATTAAATTATTGATAGATGAATTAGTTTCTCAAAAGAAATTTACTTTTATCCGGTCCAACAACGTTAATGTATTACAGTAAAAGGATTCAATGTCTTTGATGTTGCTTTCTGCCTAAAGGTGTGCGTGTTGTTTTTGATATTCTGTTTTATGCAATTATGTATGCACTTGTGTGTGTTCTATTCTATGCTTTTGACATCAGACAATTAGAAAACTTTACCTCCTGGTTTTGACAAATCTAGGTTAATTTTGTTGTCTTGGTAAATTATATATTATAGGATAACAAGAAAAATCTACCTGGTCATATGATTGTAATGCTGCTTTTTCCACTGCAGAGATTATGTACATCATGTTTATGGTACACATTCCTTTCAACTCCTTGTTTTAATCCAACTCTTCATCTTGCCCTTGATCTTACATGATAGTGAAATAAAGTTGAAATCGGGGAAGAGTAATGCATATATGTTTCTTTTTCATAATTTCTGGATCAGTGTTTTAGAAATTCAAATAGTTATACTTTAATACCTTTGAGGCTGGCACCTAATGTTTATTTTGCATGAATTTTATGAACTAGGATTTCTAAGACACTGTATTTACTGGTTTTAATTTTCAACTTTATGCTCTAAGGAGAAGGATAATCACATAAGCAGCACTTATTTGGACATTTTATCTTCAGCCTAAGAATTAGATTGTAGGTACATGTTAGTATTCATAAGTTTTTATCGTTGTTCACTTCTTCAGTTTTGAACTATTCTACGATGATGTCTACTTGGATGATTTCGTAATTTGAATTAATCCATGATAAAATAAGGTGATAAAGTCGACTTTCTTGTGTTTCTTTAATCCAACTCTTCGTTTAATATATGGCAGATTTATAAAGTTGAGACAGTTGCACAGAAATTTTCCTGACAGATTTTTATTATGATTCAATATTGATGAACGACTCATCTACAAATCATGAAATGACTTGAATTTTTTATATGTTGAACATACATGTGTCTTCTTATATACTGGAAATTTTCGTGATTATTGGATATTAATTTTAGTTATTGATGTCGCTTGGCAGGTGCTTACTTAAATACAATCAAGAGGACTGTAAAGTTTCTCTGCCCTGCAGATGTGATTCCTCCATATATTGATGTGGATCTGAGTGAGTTGGATGTCGGCCAAAAGATATTAATGGGAGATCTCAAAGTTCATCCGACTCTAAAGCTTATTCAGTCAAAAGATGAGCCTGTTTGTAAGATCATGGGAGCTAGAGTTTCTGAACAAAAGAAAACTAAATAACTGCTATGGTTGGATTTTGGCTGTGCTATCATGAAAATTTGATGGCATCATTACACCTTCTCAGCTAACATGTTTACGACCGCGTATCTTTTGATTTGTAATGGCTGTGAAGGACAAGGCAATATAGTTTTCACCCTCTTTTTTTCCCTTTTTGGGTTTCTTTATCTTTTGACGAGGGAGCGTGGGGAGTGGCGGTCAAGGATGCTGTTAAAGAGAGGAAGAAACTGGGTCTGCTTCGTATCTCTTGTGAATCTGATCTGAAATTCTATGGTAATAAGTATTTTAGTTCACAGATACTCAATGGACACACTTGGGCGGATGTCGCTTGCTCAGTTTCTATGTTTCTTTGTCAAATTCTTTCATCCATAGGTTTATTTGTCAGTTTCTTTCTTATATCAGTGATATTCATTAGGAAATTCAAAATTAATGTAATCTATGGGGAGAGAGATACGAACTAGAGTGCAAGGGGCAGACTCACTGTCTTGACCAACTACTAACCAACTTCTGCAATATGCAAATAGTTAAAGGGACCTTGTTAATTTTGAGTAAATGTTCCCCCCTCCCACAATGAGAGGTGAATAACCTGAACTATATATATGTTAAGCTTTAACATGAATTTTGAATACTTAAGTATCTTTTATACTAGTATTTTATACACTAGCCCCCCAAACTTGCAATTATAGCTCCACCCTTGATTGTAGGAGAGATGTTATAATAGAAAAAGCAGGGTGTGGAAAAAAACAAGAGCAGGTGAATATCCATTTTCCTACTAACTAAGAGGAGTGACATGGTAAAGCATGTAAATATATAGAAACACATATTTGTGTATCTTTGTACAAGGTGCACATTGTATATATGAGAGGGGAGAGGAAAAGAATATCTTGCGGCCAATCTCATGAGTGACATGAGCAAAAAGAAAGCTGCAATTTCCCGTTTAGAGTGTCAACCGAGCCAAGTCTACCAAAGTCAGAAAATGAGTTGACAGCGTCAAGAAAACCCCCTCGAGAGTAGAAGTTCTTCCCAGCAGAGTCTGAAGAAGCCTGGCTTATGATCCCATTGAAGAATTCTGGAGTTACTATATCAGCCACAGACGAACCAACATTGGTGCTTGGTGTGGTTGGTGTGCCACCGCCGCCAGTACAAGGGCCCTGTTGCTGGTGCCGCAATAGCCATATTGGCTACAACATAGTCCTGGGGCACAGCCACAATTTTGTGCTGTCACATTTTTTAGCAGTGCTCCAGCTACAAATACTA